TTCCAAATGATTTTTTTGCAATCTTTTAATAGACAACATATGCAAACTGTTGCAGAAATAGTTCAGTATTAGACCAACTTTTGTCCATAAACATATGATTGCTCACAGACATAAATAAAGGATTTTGTAGATAAGTTATAAAACAAAAAGCAGAAAATCAGTCGCGACGTTATTACGCAAACACATCAAATGTTTGCATTAGTCCAAAGAAACTGAAAGTATTAATGCGGAAACGTATCAATCATTTCGCTGATTTGTGTTTACTTTAGTGAATCCGAGCTTGCAACGTATCATCAACATGAAAAGTGTGGTTATATAATTTTCAATGTAATTCCTCAAAATGTTTCAATCAATTTTGACGAATATTAAACAGGCATTTCCCGACACGTTAAAAACCGCTTCAGTAAGCATAACACTCAAAGAAAATAGTTCCGAAAAATCAACCGAGATTTAACACAATGAAATTAGCAAGTGCTATTCATGGCAGGAAAGATGATATTAGTTTGATTTCATGGATTACCTTATCTGGTCTAAAATTAATTTATCTTTTGTTATTTAAGTGTTTGTCATAAGCAGCGCAATTTGTGTTAGGTATGATAAGGAGAATTGTACTTATCGTTTTTGCTTATAAAGACTGCTCAGGCTGTTTAAAATTTATTAATTTCTTAGGGAGAAGCACGAAATAAATTCTAAAACAATTTAAGTATAACACGATAAACAGCGTTTTTGGAGAACTTCCACAGAACAAGAGAATTTTAAATATTGCAAGCATTTCATTTTAATTAATAATTTGCGCTTGTACACAATGTCTTGTTTAAAAACATGTTTAAAAAGCTCTCTTAAAATGTAGCCAAAATAAGCACCATTTATGACAATTTCATTCACTTTGTAATAAGTTTAAACCTTTTCCATTGCCTAGATGCTTCCTAAAATCAATCGCTAACGCGGTCTATTGGGACAAAATCTGGACTTAATTCGGGCCAGCCTAAAATCCGAGCTTTCACAAAAAATACGCACTACTAATAAAACATTTATTAAATGTTCGAAACTTAGTTTTGGCTGCCGGATTCAATATATTTACTTTTCAATATCGCCGATGTCCGCTGTCAAAATGTGCGACGATTATTTTTATTTTTAATATTTAATTGATTGGATAGATTTTGACATTGAAACCGATGTCTCAAGGCGACTATTTTGTGTATTTTTCGAATCAAACAAATAGGTAACGTTTCGGCAAACATTTCCAGCGCTGAAATAAATTTTCCGACGGGCTGCTAATTTATCGTTAATGTATAATGTAGTGTGGACAAAATAACTGGCGCTTAAGCCTGGAATATTTGATAACGAATGTACCTGGGTAATGTGGTATTAATATTGTCTCGTTGGTTTTAATTATCGCGATAACTATGTGCAAGCAGTGGTTTGGTGTGCCTTTATTTTTTCGGAAATTTTCTCACTAAATCGTTGCTGGAAAAGTAGCTTTCTCCGCAGAAAATCAATTGCGATAAAGCCTGAAAAAATTAATGGTAGACATTTTTTTAGTTTGAAACTGTCGAAGCTTTTTTTAAATGAAACAAAATGTCTTTGTTTGCTGTTGCAAATTAATGCGCGCAGTAAATTACTGAACTGTGTTGCAGATATATACTGATTATTCAATGACAATACATTTCCTAATTTAAACTATTCTGTTTAATTGCTTGATTATCTCAATTGGTCATAAATTGGATCAATTACTTTACTCACGTCGACCTGCATTGTTGAATATAATGTGATTGCTACGCAATACGACAAAGAGATAAAACGGAGAAGCGGGATGAAGCTAATATGGGTCAGTGCGCTTAGGGAAATTTGTATCGCATTTTATTCATTTATTGATAGTGGAGGAATAATCCCCATTCGATTGTTCTATAATTAGCCCGATTTATAGAAAAAATAATTTATTGATCCTTAATTTCAACAGTTTTACGCATTATATTACACGAAGTTTTCCACGTGATTTAATGTTCAGTAGTAATTCAAGTGGCTGAGTATTTATGAAAATAATATACGTCCTGATAAGAATTGAGAGATATTTACTAGACATGTCATCAATCTTTGTAGTTCATATTTACTGAACTGAATTTTTCTGATAAATATCGCCATTTGCAAACTGTATTTGCCGGTATAGTCACGATGTTTATCTTGGGATTTACTTATTTAGGCAAAATAGTGTAAACTTTTCAATAAAGGAATCAACAAATTCCTACAGCGACCTGGACAATACCTTGTATGTTTTGACAAAGTAAAAGTTTCCGTAATTTTCAGTTAATTATTTCAACTTGTTCAAATTATATTTGGTGGTTTATTCTTAAACTCATTCGCTGCTAAAAGTTTCCGATTACTTACAAGACTTTTTATACCGTAGTTAAGGTAAAGAGTAAAATATTCTCTTTCAAAAATAGTGCTGCTGGTCAGTGTAGGCAAAGATAGATATTTTATTTCACTATTTCAACCTGACAATTAATTAATGTGTTACAAGCAATTATAATATATTGAATATCAGAAAGTACCGACTCCATAGTGAGCTTTATTTTGAAAAAGTCGCTTTTGAGATTTCTACGGTGAAGTAAGTAAACATTTATTCCTTCAAACTATTGATGTAAAAATAATGGGAAGCTCCAAATGGACGATTGCTACAGATGTTTACAGATGTTTACAGATCACTTTATATATTGAATGTGTAGTTTCTCTAATTTATGGATTTTTTTTTAATTAGCCAGAGAATGACAGTTATCAGCAAGTGGAAAAAATGTTGCAGTTATTTTTTTCTTATAGGATCTTACTAATAATTAAAATGCTTTAAAATATCATTTAAAGGTCAAAGAAATAACAAATTGCGATTAAAACTACAAACGATTCAGATAAAATTACCGTCTAAAAAACTACAGCGAACTACTTATGAAAATAATAGATACGCGGCCAAATTGGCCCCAATTTTGGAATTGAATAACGTCTAATTGCTGCCCGCGATTTTATTTCTGCTTGAAGCTTTAAATAGTTCAATTATTTTTCTGTCAGTCTATGTTTTTGTCAAAATTAGGTGCTTGAGACAAAGTTCCTACAGAATGAAAAAGATAACAATGGAACGAAAAATCTACTTTTTGGATTTGTGGTGATTTTGAACATGTTTTCTCTTGGACTGATTCTTAATATCTGGAGCCACTGTTGAAGCTAAAACTTCATGATCGACTTTTCTTGTCGAACATTTCAATATACAGAACTGCATGAATGAACAGACTGCTTGAAAATAAACTTTACTTAATTTGAGTTTTCCTGAATCTGAGATTTTCCGAGCCGATCGATTAGGATCGGTTGCACTTCTATGCAGCCCTGTAAACTGATTTTTTCTCTTAAGTCGACTATCAAGTTTTGGCTTTCACGTGAGCTCTAGATTTGATTTTTTGAGAAGAAGTAATTAAATGAGACAGTTGAAAATTGCAAAAACCGTTTTGAGATATGAAATCTATCAACACTAAGGGCATATCCCTTAGTGTTGAAACCCAAAAACCCGCCGAAAAAGCCCATCCAAACTTTTTTGGTATGGCATAAAAAAATTAGCATTGCTTCATTTTTCACCCTGTAGAAACGTTATTTAAAGTATCTTTCATGCAAAATTCAATATTTAACAGCAAATAGAATTTATCCAATTCCAAAATTATGGCAAATTTAGCGATGTAATGTTTATTTCGATCAGTAGGTTAAAAGGTTAGATACTATTTCCATTAAATTTTCATAATTATTTCCGTACACAATTAGCTTCGATTTAATGCATTATAATTAGTTGCAGAGATTTGGCCAATTAAAAAAAACTATTTTACAAATTACTTATATTTAAAATAGAACTGTATTATTTAATTTATTATCAGAAATATTTGGTGTTAATGGGACAAATTCATTTTTTAAGCCATAAATAATCTACTAAAAATCACACTAAAAAAATTCATAAATATAGCATTAAATGAGAAAATTTATATTCAAGAAATTTGCGACTCTTCGTGCACCTCAAATTTGAAATAAAAATTAATAAACATCGGTTTTTGCAATAAGTAAAGGAACAAAAGGTAGTGAAATCCTCGTATTTTCTCATGAGAAGCTGCTTTATGAAGGTTTCTTTGTGTCTAATTGCAGACGATGCAGACACCCAGATGTATTTTTAGTGAGCTGGAGACAAACGAAATAAGTCCAGAGAAGAGCTTTACAAGAAGCTGTTTATGCACATTTTTAAATTCAATTGGCAATAGTATGAGGCAAAAACATGCGTTGTTTTATTGAAGAGAAAATTTTTAATTTAAATAAAGCCGATTATTTAAGTAAACTTAAAATTGAGAATGTTGTTTTCTTTCTTTAATCTTGGCAACACTAAATAACTGACCTAGGAAAAGTAAATATGTAAACTGTCCTCGAAGAACTACAATTTGCAAGCAATTATTTTTAGCTGCCCAATTTAAACATCTGTTAATTAGGTTGTCTGACTACACATTGGTCTGTGATGTTACGATGTCAATGCCAACTTAACTGGGAAATCAAAAGAGTTCTGTTTTCGCGGTCATTGCTTGAAACTGGTGAGTTTTTCGGGATTTTAAGCAGTAGCAGAAAATTTTCTTGGCGTTTTGCAAGCACGAGTGGCTTGTAGCCTCAAGGGAGTAAGAAAAAAATTAATTCGAAAAATTCATCAATTTTATCTCGCTAGGAAACTACCACAAAACCTAGGTCAGGCGGCTTAAATAATGAATCCATGAAGCTTTTATGGAGTAACTAAAATCATCTACTATTACCACCGCTTGTAACGTACTTTTCAGCTCAATAAGGGCTGAGAAGCAGGCTTCCAGCCTTGAAATTCTCGTCCTATTTAGCAGGAAACAGCACAACAAACATGCTTTGGTTTGGCAGCGAAATAAATGTCTATCTTTGCTTTGGGTGAAAATACGACTTGAGAATAGCATTCCTCAAGTTGGACTTACTACGAAACCGAATTCGTAATGGTTTATCATGAAAATCAAAGGGAATTTTGATCAGATGATTTAATCCAAATGGCGCACTGAATCCGGGGAAAAAACACTAGAAAACTTTGCACTGACGGTCATTACGGAACTTCACAGGAATGATACACAACACAATTATTTACTTATTGAAACCCAGCACAGCGCCACGATTACCCAATACTAACGAGCAAAATTTAATTTGCGAGCGAGTAAAAGTTCGAAATATCAGCGAAATTCCCACGACACGCGAGACGTTTTTACTTTCCGCGATTTTAAAACAACTAGCAAGTCGGTATGGTTAAGTCTATAGATATCAGATCGGGCGAGTAAAACACTCCACATGTGACGGTGAGGAAAAAACACGATCGTGGAAGTCGAAAAAGTGATGGTGGTGGTACTGCCAGTCGATTGTTTGCATTTACTTGTTATTGCACATTTTTTAATTTTTTTAAACCGATATCAAAATATATTGATAGGCAGGTATAGTTGCTTGACGAGATTGACGAGACATGTAGGCACCTTTCCTGCGCTCTGCATCATCGAAAATACATTCTTAAATATACGCCTTTTAAGTCAGTAAACTGGTCTGAATGAAAGGTTTCTCTCCGTATCTCTGTTAAAATATATAGGGCAATTTCCGATGATTTTCAGTTCGAGTTCAAAAACTTTGCATATTATTAAATAAATTTTATTACTCTGTATAGATCCCAAACGAAGCATTTTATCATTATTTATTATATGGATTATATTTTATTGAATAGGGGAAGTCCTGATTATCATCTAGTTGATGTTAACATTCAGTCTTATACAATGAACAACAGGCCAGAAATTTAATGAAATCGAAAAAAGGATGTTTGAACTATTAATAAAAATAAAATTATTTTTTGTAGTTTTGACGCCCAATATTTTTACGACCTTTAAAAATTATCAGGAAATATTTAAAAAATAGTATCTACCTATATAAAACAGTTCTACGCTGCTATTAAGATCAAGAAAAGACAAAGTTTAAAAATGGTTATTATTTTACTAGAAAAAATCATAGAGAAAACTACCAAAAAAAATGAGAAGAGCGCATATGATTTCAAAAGTCCTAAAAAATCGAATAAATTTTGGAAAAATGTGGCCGTTGCAAATAATGTCCTACTATCCAAAGAAAGCTACATTTTCCTAGATCGTTCTACATTCCACTGATACGCAGTTGCATATAAAACAAATCCCACGATTTAGTTACTTTAGACGCGCTTACCATATTTTTTTCCGCAAATATTTTATTGTTCTACATTTACAACCAGAAAATATCTTGCAGCAGTAAATAAATGCTGTTCTCATATTTTGATCGGTATCTGTAAATAATAAAGCAATTAGCTTTGTTTCAACTTTTTGTCGGCACATTTACACTTTACTTTGCGAGTAACCTATCAGTAGGCTGATGCCTTGAATGCTGCATTAAAATTTAATGCCAGCAGTTATTCTGGTCTCAATGTTCCAAATTTCAGTCTATTGTTCTTTCAGCAAACTACACTAAAAGGTTATTTTAGTGGATATTTACTGGGATCAAGGTTGAAACGTTTCATATTTTTATAGTGTTCATTTTATTTTGTAAAGCTTCTTCTATGTCGTGAAGCTCGGTATAAAGTTTGAATTTTTTCGCCTACTTACGCAGGGTTATTCAATTCAGGGCTTTTGAAGATTTTTTATTGGTTGCCACGTGAGAAAACGTTGCAAATACGGGCTGACAATTATTTCCAAAGGTTGAACAGTAATTTCGTTAAAGTTGCATGATTCGGTACTTTTTGAAAAAAACCGATGGCGTAAAAAGATATGAATTTTTCGCGAAGCGTTTAAATAATCACGGGCAAAGCCGAGATTTCAATTCAGGTGTTAAGTATCTAGTAATAATAATTTACCTTTGTATGGAATTATCGGCAAATTTTCACCAACAAATCAGACTTTTATGGCGAAATCCATTGTCTATATCACACGCCATGGGGCTAGAAGTGAAACAGCAACCCGTTGGATTTACCGCATTTTACCTGCCGTGATGTATCAAATAAATTGGTCCCAGAACACGCTACCGAATCGATTTCACAACTAAACCTGTCTTTCGCATTTCGGAGCTAATCGATGCACTTGTTTTCACCTTTTTCCACAAATCAGCAGCTAAGGCTAAATCGGGATTTTTCCTTTCAGTAACGAATTTCCAGACTTTTCAACTCGACTGCAGACAATCTGGCTATTATGTTCAGGCTAACAGCATTTTGCTATAATGGAAATTATACAATGCTTTCTAGGCGATTAGAATTCCAGATTTAATCGAATAGATGTTCAAATGATAAAACGGAAATTCTGTTCAAGTGTTTTAAGTTGCCCTTACATTATCCCGGTTCTACGCAAATTTAGCAAAACAAATTATGTACCATTAATTTGTTTAGGTTTATTTTTTATGTTCGAGAAGCGACAACCAAAATTCAAATGAATATCTTGATCGCTACTTATTTTCTAGACGCTGTTGGATACATTAACAGATTCAAATTGAAACTGAAAACTTTTTCGCACCATTTTTCGAAGCAATGTTGTTATTTTCCAGATTTTCTAAATTGTCCAAGATATTATGGAAAGCTCTGCTGTTTCCCTCGAAACAAACTCCACAAACCTTCAAAACGTTAGAGCGAAAATTTCCCGTTGAAGTTTATTGACAAAGAACCGCACACCATCATGGCGTTCTCCTCTTCAAATTAAAGCGGAATTAGCTTGATTTATATAACTCAGATGCCACCCACGGAGCAATTTCCATACCTCATTGTACAATTAGAATAAGGTTAAATGGGGAAACATAAATTTTCCCTAGTTCTGGCTCCAAAGCTCAGGTATGCTGACAATGAAAGTACGTAAGGCAAGTTATCTTGTCTGAGGCAGTTGAAAACGTTAAATTGCATATAACTAATGGCACCATTTGCGAATCACAAAAATAGTGTTTTATTCTAAAGAAAATAAAATGTACTTTTTCGTCGCCAATCAAATCTTGCATAGACTTATGTTCATTACTTACCTCAAACCGGCCAATTTTTCCTCAATTTAATCACTTATTATCAAGTGATATGTTATGGACTTCACAACTAATTTTTCGGCGGTCTGATTTTGTCGCATTTTTGATAAACGAGTTTAAAATTACTTAAAATTTCAAAAAAACCAGAGAAATTTAGAAAAACTTACCAAAAGAGGTTGAGGATCGGTTGATCTGTGTTCTTCTTCGGAAGGAGAACCTGAAAATCAAACGCTATTTGAAAAAGTAATATTTTAAAATATTTTGCTCGCACATATACTGAGTGCTTCACAAGTAGTCCCTCAAACTTTAGGACGTAATTGCTGGTATTATATTAAGAGAAAGATATAAGTTTTATTAAAAAATATGACAATTTATTAATATCACCGATACCGCTTAGAGCATTGGAAGAAAATTATGCACGTGTCAGTCAGTAGCTGTTCATTAGCAATGCTTCTACTAAAAGAAACATGTTTTTCCTTCAGTAGTTGCACGCCTAACCAACATTAACTTTTTTTAATTGAGCGTCTTTAATTTATCAAAAAACCTAATTTTAGTTCATCATTGCTTGTTCAATTTCAAGCAACAAATCTATCTGACCTTTTCTTCGTGCAAGGCATAATTTTTACACATGGAAAACATCATTAAAGTATATAAAGCGGTTTCAGAAATATTCAATTTTATGTTTTTCCATTAAACTTTAACCCCCTGTATTTTTAACGATGCTCTTAAGGGCCCTTGTTTATAAAAATGTTTCATCTTAATCTTTTGAATAACTTTGCCATTTTCAACATTTTCCTAACGAAATATTGTGAGAAAAAAATAATTTTTATGGACTTCGTATTTAGTCTGAAACATCGCCGACTCACTAGCCTCTAAAACCCAAAGTAGAAGCTTCAGAAAGTCTTTTCTTTCATAAAAGTCATTTTATTCATAATTTTGTTGTCCAGAAATAGAACTTTCCTTTGTAAACAACTCAAAGGTTACTTCCATATAAAAATTAAAAATAGTGCATATCACACACGAATCATCCAGTTTTATTAAACCTTTTCCCTATTATTGCTTTATTGCGTGATCAGTTTGTCTTATTATTTCACTTCAGCTTATCTGTGTGGCACAGCTTGATTGCCAGATCCAGATAATCACGAACTATTTTTACCGAGAATTTCTGGATTTTACTATCGAACACCAAATATGTACCCACTCGTAAAACCTAGGGAATTACCCGTTATTTTTTATGACTCATATTAGTTTTTTTATAAGATCTTGACTTTTTTAATTTCAGTTTTATAAGTGTTGATTACTTGTAAGTTATTGTAATGCTGTTTTTAAAACTCTTGGAGATTTGAAATTTGTTTTTAATTTTAAATAAGCCTGTGACCAAAGAATTTTGCCATCTGCATTTATCTCCCGCAGATCCAGTGCGTAAGATATAAAAAACGTATTGAGAAAAAACATAGCTTCCCAATAGAGCTAATAGAAATTCTCAATTCAAGAAATACCCTCAAATAAAATAAAGTTTGATAAAAATGTACAAAATAACCATTGATAAATCGTAATTGATTCAAGATTATTTGTTTTCATTTGACTGACTTCTTCTTTGAAAAAATGCAAAAGTTTTGTCTCGAGCAAAAAATATACCTACCTGTTTATAAAACTTTACACAAACAAACACTTAAACCAACTGTTTATTGCTCAGTTTTTTGTACAATTCCTTCTGAGAGTAATATTTATTCAATCAACCTTTTTCTCTATTGCTCAATTCCTTTTCAAATTAATGTTTACTCATTGAGCTACGCTCTGACACAAATGACCTTAGAAGTTTTATTTACTTTACTATTAATGGTTCTGAAAGTATTTTTTTAAGTTCACCGAAACACTTACTCAACAAAAAATTATCGAAATACCGAATCAGACAAATGGCACGCGAACTAGTTTAATAACCAGGTAAGAAGCGAAGAAGCACGTTTAAGTCCATGAGGAAGCTAATTGAAACACTGTTAGAATGAAGGTAAATATTTTACAACACGCATATATGTTTTCCACCTCTTTCCCGCTTTTCTGGATAATAACCCCTTGCGACGCTACAAGGGTGGTTTCGAATTGTTTCTTTTCATTCTATTCAAGTCAGGCTAGAATTGATCGTTAATGGGGCTAAAATTAGAATGGGCAGCTATTTTCCATTAAGGGATCTATTAATGTTTCAAATGCGATATATATTTCATTTCCTTCAGGTCTATATTTATGCCTAATATGTCAGTTATTCTCTATTAGAGTTTAAAGGCCAAGTGCTGGTTTCCTCAATCACCACTCAAGTTATATGGCATGGAATATTCGGAATAAAATATGTAGAGTTTAGTTGGCGACTTGAAGTTTATATTTTCAGAACTTTCCAGCTTGA